CTTTTTGAGACGGTTTGCCATTTCAATGTAAACCAATGGGGAATGATCAAATAGGTGAAAACTGACATTCTTGCAGTTACGTGAGTCTTTTTGAGACGGTTTGCGATTTCAATGTAAACCAATGGGGAATGATCAAATAGGTGAAAACTGACATTCTTGAAGTAACGAGTTTTTGAGACCGTTTGCAATTTCAATGTAAAACAATGGGGAATGATCAAATAGGTGAAAACACATTCTTGCAGTTAATTGAGCCTTTTTGAGACGGTTTGCGATTTCAATGTAAACCAACGGGGAATGATCAAATAGGTGAAAACTGACATTCTTGCAGTTACTTGAGTTTTTGAGACGGTTTGCGATTTCAATGTAAACCAATGGGGAATGATCAAACAGGTGAAAACTGACTTCTTGCAGTAACTTGAACCTTTTTGAGACGGTTTGCAATTTCAATGTAAACCAATGGGGAATGATCAAAAAGGTGAAAACTGACATTCTTGCAGTAACTTGAGTCTTTTTGAGACCGTTTGCGATTTCAATGTAACCCAATGGGGAATGATCAAATAGGTGAAAACTGACATTCTTGCAGTTTGAGTCTTTTTGAGACGGCTTGCGATTTCAATGTAAACCAATGGGGAATGATCAAATAGGTGAAAACTGACATTCTTGCAGTTACGTGAGTATTTTTGAGACGGTTTGCGATTCCAATGTAAACCAGTGGGGAATGATCAAACAGGTGAAAACTGACATTCTTGCAGTAACGAGTCTTTTTGAGACGGTTTGCGATTTCAATGTAAACCAATGGGGAACGATCAAAAAGGTGAAAAATGACATTCTTGCAGTAATTTGAGTCTTTTTGAGACCGTTTGCGATTTCAATGTAAACGAATGGGGAATGATCAAATAGGTGAAAACTGGCATTCTTGCAGTAATTTGAGTCTTTTTGAGACGGCTTGCGATTTCAATGTAAACCAATGGGGAATGATCAAATAGGTGAAAACTGTCTTGCAGTAACTTGAGTCTTTTTGAGACGGTTTGCGATTTCAATGTAAACCAATGGGGAATGATCAAATAGGTGAAAACTGACATTCTTGCAGTAACTTGTCTTTTTGAGACCGTTTGTGATTTCAATGTAAACCAATGGGGAATGATCAAATAGGTGAAAACTTACATTCTTGCAGTAACTTGAGTCTTTTTGAGACGGCTTGCGATTTCAATGTAAACCAATGGGGAATGATCAAATAGGTGAAAACTGACATTCTTGCAGTAACTTGAGTCTTTTTGAGACGCTTTGCGATTTCAATGTAAACCAAAGGGAATGATCAAATAGGTGAAAACTGACATTCTTGCAGTTACGTGAGTCTTTTTGAGACGGTTTGCGATTTCAGTGTAAACCAATGGGGAATGAACAAATAGGTGAAAACTGACATTCTTGCAGTTACGTGAGTCTTTTTGAGACGGTTTGCGATTTCAATGTAAACCAATGGGGAATGATCAAATAGGTGAAAACTTACATTCTTGCAGTAACTTGAGTCTTTTTGAGACGGCTTGCGATTTCAATGTAAACCAATGGGGAATGATCAAATAGGTGAAAACTGACATTCTTGTTCTTTTGTCACCTGGCAGATCTTTTCTCTTAAATCCTTCTTTTAAGGTTGTTATTTGATCTGCCATACCCGCTGCCTCTACAATTGTGGATGGCTTGCGATCCTGAATCACCCAACGAATATCATAAGGCACTAGTTGGAAAAACTGCTCCAGCTTCAAAAGTTCCCTCAGCTGTTGATAATCTTCCACCTCAGATGTCCTTATCCAACTATCGAACAGTTGAGACAATCTTGAGGCCACCTGACCAAAACTTTGAGTTTTATCTTTCTTTAATGTCCTGAACTTAAATCTATAATATTCAGGAGTCAATCTAAATTCTTGTTGAATCTGTTTCTTAAACAGATCATAGTCTCCATATGAATCCTCAGACATCTGTCCATAAATCTGCAAAAGTTTCCCACTTATCTGAGGCCTTAGGTATGTCATCCATTTTTCCTTAGCCACCCCAAAATCTCGACAACATCTCTCAAAAGATATTAGGAATTTCTCTGGGCCATCGTCTTTGGTAAATTTTGGGAATTTTTCTTCAAATCTGGGGTATCTCCTCCAGATCTCCCTTCCTGGATATCCCTGGATGTTTGAGACAAAGCCAATCTTTGTTTCTCTAGCTCAAACTCCATTCTCTTCCATTCTAACTCCTGTTCCAATTCTCTCACTCTCTGTCTTTCTTCAAACTCTCTCTGTTTTTCCTCCATCTCCAATCGTTTCATCTCTAGTTTATACTTACAAGCCATTTCTGAGAAAGGCATCGGCTCGGTCTCTGTCTCAGAGCTCGAACTTTCCTCTTGGTCTACCTCTCTTTCCTCAGCCAGCTTTCTCTGTCGCCTGGTAGCCATCTTTCAGCAACTTTTACCTCACAACTTATTTCAAAATTAACTTAAGGCACTCGATCAGTTGTTACACGAATCCCGTCGCCTGATC